TGTGGGTGTGGGTCAATACCTTAAACACAGATGTCAATCTGAAAAGATTAGATTTTAATAGAAGGGTGGATCTATTCATATTTGAGTGCTCTTTGGTGAGCGCAAAGCCAACCTGCCAGGCTGTCATAGAGAACGGACATTATTTGGACTGTCGACTAAACTGTATTGGCCTGTTTGTTGAGCGAAAGAAAATTGACATAAAATTAGTTTTTTGATATTCGTTAAAATGAAAGGAAAACCTTTGCAAGAATATGTCTCGCAACAAAACACTGGGTGGTTAAGAAATCTCCTCCTCTGACTTGCAATGCGTGGCAAAATCGTACAATTAAATACTTACTGCGTACAGCACTGTGCCTGCAAAGCCTTTCTCCGTTCTGAGTAATTTATCCCATAGACACACTGACGATATTTGCAAAATATAGTACAAATGCAATATCGATCGTTATTAACGTAAACACCCTAAATATTCACTGTTTTTTTTTTTTTCAAAAGTGGGCGAAAAATGTTTTACACATACATATACATTGCAAGAAATTACTTTGCTGAATTTTGCGATTTTTAGAAGAACTTTTAACTGATATGTGAAGAAATGCTCCTCTTAATACTGTAAGCCTTAAAGCTATCGCGCTTAACTGCATTGGGCTTAATGTTATTGTGGTTAGAGCAAGTTCGCTTACTGCATCAGGGTTTAATGCTATTCCGGTTAACAAATATTTCTCTCTCTGTATGCCATCTAATACTGCTTTGTTTAATACTCTGCTTCGCTTAATGCTATTTCGGTAAAGCATATTTCCCGTAACTCGGTTCGTTTAACGATACTCCGCTTAATGCTACGTTGCCTAATGTTGCTTGACTTTATGCTAATGCGCGTAATGCTATTCCGCTAATGCTGCTTCGCTGAATTTTTTTGCGCCTAATAGTGTTCCAAATAATGCTACTTCGCTTAATTCTACTCCACTTAATGCTACTTTGCTTAATACTAGCCCAGTTAAACATGTTTCGCTAAAGAATATTTCTCCTAACTCTTGTTCATTTAACTCGATTTCGTTCAACGATACTCCGCTTAATGCTACTTTGTCTAATGTGGCTGCATTTTATGCTAATACGCTTAATGCTATTTTCGCTAAAGAAATTTTCCTTTAACACCTTGTCTCGCTTAACTCTGTCTCATCTAATGCTTTTTCCGCTAATGCTAGTTCGCTTAACGCTGGTCCACTTAAATTCTATTTCGCTTGATGCTACTTTGCCTAATGTTGCTTCACTTGATGCTACTTCGCTTAATTCTAGTTCGCTTAGTGATGTTTCACTAAAAAATATTTCCCTTAACTCTTTTCACTTAAATATGTTTGTTTAATGCTCCTTCGCCTAACACTAATATAAATTCAAAAGCAAGTTCAACAGTATTTTGCTGTCGATAAATACGAAACAGGGAACGTTAACCCACATTAGGTGCGTTTGCAAAAAGAAGTTCATTACAGACATATAGCCCCTTCATGCCATTCCCTTCACTCAATCTCTTGTTGACTTAATGAACAATGTGGTGTGAATAGAACTCAATCTCACAACAATATGCATAAATGTGAAATAATAAGTAATAAAAATGTACTTAACAATCAAATCAATAAGTGTTACATAATAATATTTAAAAAAGAAGCGATTAATATTCTTGTTCTTAACCTTGTATCTTGTTAACCTTGGTTTGGTTCGCGCTAGTAGTGTCGTGTATTGAAATGTGAAATGCGTTGCGGCAAACGAAGTCTTATTTAATTAATTTTTGTCTCGGCCAAATGTTGCGCTCCGAAGAAACGAAGTAAGAAAATTATATTCGGCTGGGAACAAATTTTTTATGCCTACCTATGAGGAAAGTACAGAATAATTTTCAACATTCTGTCTTGTTTGTCTTGTGAGTGACGAGCAGAAACAATCAAGAGTGGGGCGTGGATGATTTCTTCAATTTTTGTACAAATGGTGCAGAACTACCCCTGCAAACTGCGTTCAAATTTCTATCGTTGTAGGTTATAGGCAAAAAAACGCCATTGTTTTTATTTTTGAAAACAGAAATTTTCTCAGGTTATGTTATGTACTGCGGTCGTGCCCTTCAATCGATTCGGCCCATTTTATTATTATTATTATTATTAATTTCGCCAGAGAAATGAATTCTAAGACTAAACTCTTAAAAGCACTAGCATCTAAGGCTAACGGCTTTTATTAAAAACTCTATCGCACTTGAGATTCGAACCCACGACCATTGACTTGCTAGTCGAGATTCCTCGCCTTCGGCTACTCAGGCGGATCGGCCCATTTTAAATACCAACCGACGTGCAAGATCTTTCTATGCATCTGATGAATTATTTTTGCTACGACAGACGGACAGGCAGACGGACATGCTGAAATCAGCCTGATCAAGAATGCATTTACTCTACGAGGTCTCTTCCGGGTGCTGCAAACGTTTTGATAAAATGAATACACTCCGCATTCTTCGGTGATAGGAATACAGGTTGACATTTATATATATTTTTAGTTCAAATTTTATTTCCATTAGACCTTTTTGTAAATTTATCAGACCTAGGGAATGCTCGAAATTCTAGACCGAAGAATGCTTGTCGGTAATATCGACCACTACTCAAGTCTTAATAACGAACGATTAATTCTAATCCGGGTAAATATTTTTTAGAATGACTCAGATCACGATGTGAATCTCAATCACTTATGAGAATCGTGGGAATTATTCAAATGTTATTGTTTTTGTTTATAGTTTAAATTCGTTTATTTATCCACACATAAAATATTATTCGCAGGCCGCCATATATTCTCTGATTTCGAATTGTGTAAAAACAAAAGGAAACTGGAAGCCTTAAAGGATAAGAAAAACTTCATTTGTTGAGTCATTCAATTGCTTGTAAAGAAGAAGAGGAAGAAGACTCGACTGACTGACTGGCTGCTTGGCACGGTGGTTGTTGCTCTGAAGCTCATATCTATCCTAAATTTTGAGTCGATTGTCGCTTACCTTTCCAAGACACCGGATTCGTTTCTACTTGTGTGAATGGTCGCATCGTGGTATAATAAAACGCAATTTGTGAAAAATATGTATGTAACGTGTAGTAAAAAAACTTGTTTAAAATGCAATATGAAATAATCGAAAAGTTCAAAGTTCAAACGAGCCATCGGGGTCGGCTTAGGGTTGAAAAAAAAATGAGGTTGTTACGCGCATCGTCAGTGGAGAAGGCTACGGAAATCCGATCAATGATTGGCATGAGTTGGAGGATTTTGATATGGTCAACGGTATGTAGTTGCAACAAGATTATGTAACATCCCATGCATTCCGTAAGAGAAAAGTTCAAGTTCTTCTTGAAGTGGATAAAAATTAATTTATTAAAATAAATAAACAATGAAAGTTGAATGACCAAGTAATCTCTAGAATAGAAACCGGTCTTTTTCTTTTTTTGTTTTGGGATTATATGGAGCCATCGGTTTTCTCTATTGAACCACATGACCTTCAAATATGTGAAAAACTATTTGCGACACTGTAACTGAAAATTGATAGTTGAATGGAATCGAATTTGTAAAAAAGCTCAGCTACTTTTTTTATTTTTAAACAAAACTATCACGAACTAATATCTAAAATGAAAGATGAACCCATCAACCAAGCCATCTCCACCATTTCCTCCTTTCACATAGTTACCGACACAACAGTCTTTCGAAGTAAGACTTTATATGAGGAGTTTGTCAAAAGCGTGGTCCAATCCGAATCATTATCAAGAGCATTCGTCATGGATCAAATTTTATCAAAATATCTCGAAAATTGTGATTTGTAAGTGGAACGAAAGAAAACAAGATGGACGGACGGACGGACAGACAAGCTCAGATCGATTCAAAAAAAAAAGCTTCTCTAATCAATCGAAAAAGCAATTTTGAATCGATCGGTATAACATCAGTCCTTCTGGGATCTACATACAAACACGCAAAGTTAATATGTACACTTGTTGCCACAAGTGCTGCGTGGTATAATAATTGTATCTTATCTAATCTTACATCGTTTTGCTTTTATTTCGAATTAAAGATCTTGTGTTTGCCCAGCTTTGTAGTTGCTATTGCTCATCGTATCTTTTCCTCTAGAATTTTTTCTTTTGTCGAAATAAATTATAATAATAAAAATATTTGAAATATGTTTTCTTTAAATCTTGGCATTTACTCTCTTGGCGATGCGAGAGTTATTTACTTGACTATTTACCTGACTATCTATAAATTGCTATTCTATGTCCCGTCATGATGGATATATTTCTTGTAACTACTTGAGAGGTTTCTTTATATACAAACAAGATGATGATGTCATTTTGATGTGTTCCCCAGTAGCATTGCTTCAGCTCTTTAGCTTCGTTCTTAGTAATTCAGAATAGAATTCATTTCGCTGAAATTGATTGCTTCATAAAATCCACCTCATGCATTCAATTTTCTCGATTTTCCCGTATAGACAACTTAAAGATATTGACGTTTGAACCATACAGGGTTCGAGTTGTTCACAAGTTGTCACTTAAGACTTTTCTGCGTTTTTTTACTGCATGAGTCTGGAAAAATGCAGCTGAAGGTATGGAAATGATTAAGATGGAAAGTGATTTGCGAGATGTCGAGGCAACATAAATTTGATGAAATTTGCATATGTCCGGCCGTCCACATTTAGCAAAAGCAACCCAAGAAATGATTTCCAACATTGGCTGTGAAATTTTACCGTAATCGGCGGTATTTTTCAGGCCTGGCTTTTTCTGATGATCGCTTATCCAGATCGATGCGGTCATGTTTAGCCGGGAAAATGAATTGAAATCTTTGCCGCGAGGGCATTCTTCAGATCGCCGGTTAAAACGCGTAATGGTAATTCGTACTTCGACTATTAAGTTTCGTAAAAAGTATATTTTTGAGTTCCATGAAAAATTATTATAAGAGAAAGTGCGAGTTTTTTTATTCTTTTGTTGTTAATATTTCAACTTTTTGTTGTATTTTTTCAGATAATTCTGTGCCCATCGGCATAGCTGTGGCGCGAAAACGGCCGCAAGAGTCTACGGCAGCCAGCAACATGCCACCGATTCCTTCCGCTTTATCAAGTTCCTCAACGTTGCCACTCTCTCAGTCGCTTAATAAGGATATGAATTGTTTCGGTATACGCGTAGCAGATTTAGGTAAGTGTTACTCTCTAATTCATTCTTGTTCCTCTCGTTCCCCTTGTTCGTTAATCATTGCGATTCATAGTGTACTGCGACTTAATTCTTAATTATTCATAACGAAATTTTATTAGTTTTTTTTAACATAACTACAGAAAAAAAAAAAATAAATAAAAGCAAAAGCAAAAATAACAAAACTTAAAATTTATTGTTATTCATTTCCCGCTTTTTTGCTCTAATTTAAGAAAATAAAAAAAACATTTTATGTCGTTGTTAGAAAATACAAAAAAAAAAAATAAAAATAATAATGAAATGGATATATTTGTATACCTGCGGGTGTTTGCAAGCGAGTGTCTCTGTGTATGTTAGTTACCATCACTACGACCAGCAGCAACACCACGTCGACAGCAATAGCAACAAAAACAAAAACAGCAGCGGCAGCAACATATTTTGTTTAAATTAATGCGCTCTCCTCCCGACTTTGTTGATAAATAAACGAATTTCTCGTTAGTGGAGGGGAGGGGGGACGGCAAAGGCAACAACAAAACAGAAACGACAACAATAACAACAACAAAAGCAACACCAGCAATAAAACCGAAACAAGTCCTCTTGTTATAACCAAGTGTATATATATATATATATATATATATATATATATGTTGAGTATATATTTATTTTGCTATTGTTTGTAAACAACGGGGGTTTGATTCTTCGCATTCATTCGTGATGGTTTGGTGTTTTATTTTTTAATAAGTTTTTTTTTTTGTTGTTGTTCATTTCTTTTTTTTTTTTTGTTTTCTTTTCTTTCGTTTGCTTTTTTTTTAGTGTTTTATTACCTTTATATTTTCATTCTATTGAACTTTTAAATTATTTAAGTATTATTTTGCAATTTTAATGATTTTTTATTACATATTTTAATTTTTTAATATGTTTTCTTTTCTTTTTGTTCAGGGTTTTTTTCAAGTTGTTTTTTTGTTTTTTTTTTATTACTATTATTATATTATGCTTTTGTTTAACGCGCCACAAGCACACAAATGAGCCATTATGACCAAAGTTGGAGAT